GGGGGGGGGTGGTGGCAGGGGTGGCAGCTATCTAAAAGTAGTTCCTCACTTTCCTCCATACCCCCCAGATAAGGAACTGAAGACACAGGGGTTCACGCTGGAGTCCTGCCGTAGCATGATTGCTCTCATGGATGTATCCTTCCTGCCACCCTTCTCAACCCTCCCAGGGGGCCAGGGCAAAAATGAGGGGTGCCTAGTCTGGCAGAGGAGCCCAAATTCACACCCAAGGAAAGATTTAAGGACGTCCTGAGTCAGAACCTCCTGGCTATTGGTCTGAAAGAGGCTATTGGAGGAGGTACAAGTTGGGAAGGCCATTGGTTATGACCAGCTCCTGTTCTTACCTCAGGCTGGGATTCTGCCTGGACCCTGGCCAAGCAAAAGTGGTCCTTAGGAGAGAGGCTCCCCTGGGTCATAGACACTGACTGGGGAGGTATGGAGGGGTGGGTTAAATACCAGGACAGGGCATTAATACAGGACAATGGGTAGGAGGATATCTTGGGCAGAGCCTTCCTGTGGGTCTACCTTCCCTGCAGAGCCCTCTAGAAACCCCCCTCCCAAATCCAGGAGGATTTTGCTATGTGCACCCTGTAGCCCTGACCTTCCTCCAGACAGATGGCTCCGGGAGACTGAACCTGCAAGAGTTCCATCACCTCTGGAAAAAGATTAAAGCCTGGCAGGTGGGGACAGAGAATAAAGTGTGGGAGTGAAAGAGGCTGACTCAGGGGTTTAGTGTATGACGACTGTCCTCAAATTTTCTATTGCCAGAAAATTTTCAAACACTACGACACAGACCAATCTGGCACCATCAACAGCTATGAGATGCGAAATGCAGTCAACGATGCAGGTGCTGGGGGAGAGGGGTTGGCTGGGATGTGGACTGGAGCTGGTAGAAGCAGGAATGGGGAGGGCTAGGCCATTGGGCCCTAGTGGAGAAAGGGAGACAGGGCCTCACATTTTCCTTTCCCAAGAGGCAGGGCAAGTAGAATGCAGGCCTAAGGACTGCAACTCTACTTCCTCAAGTGCTCCCTCCACAGGATTCCACCTCAACAGCCAGCTCTACGACATCATTACCATGCGGTACGCAGACAAATTCATGAACATCGACTTCGACAGTTTCATCTGCTGCTTCGTCAGGCTGGAGGGCATGTTCAGTAAGTGGGGCTACCATTCCGCTCTCCTGTGCCCTTCCTGCCCCCTCTCCCGCACTGGGAGCTGTAGGAATCTAAGCCTGACCGTCCCCCAGTCTACCGTATCCAGGATGAATGGGTTGGCAAAGGGAGGGCTATGGGTGATGCCCTGCCTGGCGGAGCATGGTCCTCTGGCCTGTGTTCCTTCTCCCACACAGGAGCTTTTAATGCATTTGACAAGGACGGAGACGGTATCATCAAACTCAACGTTCTAGAGGTAAAGCCTGTAAGCTTACCCCTGTATCTTAAAATTCAGAGTGGAGTCAATGAGGCACACTGGACCCACTGTGTGCTCCTCACTTGAAAACGGTGGTGGAAGGATGGGATAGGAGAGGAACAGAAAGAGCAGCACAGTGGGGAATGTGGCTCATGGGGAACGTACACTCCAAAGGGTCCTCATTCTTAAAATAACTTTATGCTGGAAAATGTGTACCTTCCTAGGAGATATGGGGGGAAGGTGCTGCTTCCTAGAAAATTTTCCCAGGGTCTGGCATTTTCCCCTGCCCTGTAAAATCCCTAGGGCTGGGCTGTCTTGTTTGCATTCTGATGTGGGATTTCCTCTTTCAGTGGCTGCAGCTCACCATGTATGCCTGAACCAAGCTGGCCTCAGCCAAGGCCATGCAGGATCATTCAGGACTTCAATTTCACCCAATACAGCTAGAACCACTTACCTCAAAGGTCGCGGTAGCTGCACCCCCAGCAGACCTCCAGGCGCCTCTTCAGTCTTGTTCCTCCCTCTACTTCACTCCCCTCAGCCTCAGTGCATCTGTCCACCTGTCATGCCCAAACTGACCGTTTAGTTAAGGAACTTTTGTCCCTTTGCACATGGAGGCAAGTGTCTGTCTGCCTCAGCTGGTTGTAGCCCAGCTGAGGGATTTGCTTGGAACCTGAGCAGCCTCAGCTCTGAAGCGAATGCTTTCCTTAGTGCGTTCTAGGCTGTTCACAGAAGCTTTAGCCAATGCACTCAGTACTTCCTGTGCTGGAGCCCTCTGTCACCTTTATGTCCTCTCAACCATCGGGCAACAACCAAAGTAGCACTTGGTTCTGTCTCACTATTTCAGGATGGGCCTGCTCTGGGGGAAACTAGCTCAGTGAAAGAGAGCTGGATACTTTCAGTTGTCTGGCTCCTAAGTTTGGCTGCATTCTGAAAAAAGTGGATCTAAATAAAGGCATATGTATGACTGGTTCTGTTGTGTTTTGTTTTCTCACATTTAGATTTCAGCCATAGCAGGGCTGGGGAGCTTCCAATATTACACTCACCTATCACGTACAGAGTGCCCTAGTTTCAGAATACAACAATGAAAACACACATACACAAATAAACCCCAAATCCCACTTTAATCATGCCTATTTGTGTTTCCTGAGCATAGAAACCCCTGAGATACTTTCCAAAATATGTAAGGGAAAGCAGGGGAATAGCTCTTAGTATACAGAACAAGAAAAAATGGGTTACCTATAACCGGAGGGTCACTTACCTAACTGTAATACAGGAGAAATGTAGTTTTAAATCTTAGCTCCTCCATTAACTAACTGACCTGTGTATATGACCTTGAACAAATCCTTAAATGTAGCTGTTTGCCAAACGTATCTGGCCCATGGTCTGTGGCTTATCTATAACCACCTTATGTTTTCCACCCAATTTTCTTCTTAGTCTCTGTACCACCATGGAAAAGGAGAGGTTGGCTAGGAATGTGCAGGTAAGGTAACAAAAGTAAACAATTAGTAAAAGTACTTTATTTTCCTCTTGTATTTGCTTTATATCTTGCTTTACAAAGTTATGAAGTTCACAGGTTTATACCAAAATGTAAGACTAAGCTATTTGCTTATAAACATTTTTGCAGTCAAATGTCATCTGATTTCATTCTTCTAATCCATATTCAATATTTTAAAAAATTCAAATATCAGGGGTGCTACAACAGCTCTAGGGCATGTATTTCTCTTAAGCAGAAAAAAGATCTTCAATAGCCTTTCTTCCTTGACTCCCCTCCTCCCCCAATCCAATTAGGCTACTACCTTGAATATAGAGCAAATATGGGAAATTTCAGTGGCCATGTGACCCAGCAGGGCCACATACCTGTGAGTTGGAGGTGAGGTTAGTTAGAACTTATTGTCTGATAACTAGTAGGTTTGTTTTATGTCAGAATTTCACATTCACTTGCATATGGAACTCAGTATAACCCAAATCACCTCCACCACAGCTTCTATTCCTAGTCATTAGAGAGCTTCTTTGCAATCCTGAGGGTACCAATGATTTGGGGCAGGGACGAAATCATTATTTTATCAGTGTGACAGGCATGGCCTTCACAGCAATTCTCAAAGCTCTCCTTTAGGTAACAGGAACAAAAGTTCTAAGTCAGCGTATATTAATTGCAGTTATTTGAAGTCAGCGTACATTAATTGCAATTATTTGAGCAAATCGGGAGGACCATGCTGTTCAAATCTCACATCACAATATACTCTGATCTCCCCTCCAATGAATTCTCTTCCTTAAAACATACCATACCATTCTACTAAGTGTTGTACACCTACTCCCACCAAATCATCCACATACCTAGTCACTAAAGTTGTCCACTGTAAAATCTAACCCCCCAAACCCCTAAAAAACAGAAACAAAAAAACCTTTTTTAGGCAAATAATCACTTAAACAGCAGTGATGTTGCCTGTAACTTATAGGTAGGTCAGGAGCTAAACACTCAACTGCTAACTCTTCTGAGACAGGAAAAACTCCCACCCCACAAAAGCAGGAGTGTGGTAGCAATGATGTTCTCTTAAATTCAAGTAGCATCAGGTCAAAATAATTCTTTCCTCTTACAGTTCTGTTTGTACTGTGTTTAACTGCTGTAAACTGAGTAGAGGAGTATGCCAAAATACACTTTGAACCTGATTTAAAACTTTAGGATAAAACTTGAAGTGACTGATATTATATCAGAACAAACTGCCACTAAAACACTAGCATATGCACACAAAAGGATGTACACCATCCTCGGCTTCTAGCCGTAAGAAGTAGGCACACGTATTAAAAATAACATTCTAAAAAATGGCCTCCAACTCCTTGTAAGAAATGAGTCAGGTTTTTGTCAGGTCATGTAACGGTTTCCTTTCCACATAAAGTACTAAATACCAGAGTTTATGCAAATCCCTGAGCCACAGCTCTTCTCTAAGGGGGGACAGAGGGCTAGAATCAGTCAAGACATCATAGAAGACATAAAAATAGCCAAAACTCTGCATAACTTTCAAGACACTTTAAAGTAATAACACATAACCATACATAAACAGCCAAGATGTTTATGGTGCATTTATTTCTAAACAGAGGGCTAGAACAGTGGATTTAGGATAACACACTAACCTGATGTTAGACAAATTTTACACATCCTTGAAACAAAGACATTACTGTCACTGCTTCAAAGAAACGTTTTGTGAAATGAGGAAAAGTATTCCAAGTATATGTGCCCATTGGCATACACATGTACAAGGAACATTCATACACACGAAGGCAGACAGACTGTGCACAATTCCACCAAAGTGAAACCCAAACCGGTTCTTACTAATTCTACCTGCAAAGGTTCCCCACGATTGCCCAACACCTGCCCTACAAAGGCTCCACAACTCTCATCTTTTCAGACATGTCCTCAGGCAGGACAGAAGGACACCTATGCAAAGTGCATGCAAGATTTTCTTAGCACACAGCCAGCCAACTTGGTAATGTGGCTTCACTATAGGCCAGCGAAAAATGCCAGGTTTGGCAATAAATCCAAATATACTTTCCTGGGAATTCACCATTCCCAAACCCACAGAACAGCCTGGCTTCTCTGGTCACCTGTCCAGAAAATGGGGGTGAGAGGTGGGAAAAGCTTCATAATGTCATAGAGAAACAGCACAAAGAGTCTTTATGCACTAGAACCCTCTCTGTTCTCTCTCAAGGGTCATGTAAATCTCAACAGTGTGGTCAACAAAAAAGTTTTCCCATTCACAAAGAAAGAAGTAAATAGCTTGTGAGGCCATTCATTATCTAGTAGTAGCTCCTATATTAGTTCTTAATGTTTTGGATCTAGTAAGAACCATTAGAGCTTTCCCTGGAAAAAACAACACATACTTCGTCTTGCATACAATTCCAGGGGGTTCACATACCCTTCTGAAACCTATCCGTGACTCCCCAGTGAAGTTCCCCTGCCCTAGAGCCACAGTGAAGAAGGCATGTGAGTAGATGTGTGTGTACTAATAGGAGTGGAGAGAAACCTGGATGCTCTGCAATCCTAGAAAACAGTAGGCACCACACCCCAAGCTTAGTTATGTGGCACTGGGTTCCTCTCCTTTCTATCTCCCTGAAGAACCTTTCAGAGTTCTGTGAATCCAGAAACAAAAGAATGGAAAGTAACACTCCTACAGTTCTCTTAAGAGTCCAGAGAAAAGCCCAAAACAAAGCGATCTCACTAAGGCTTTGTTAATGTGGCTGCTCTCAATGGACAGGTAGTCTTCACCTTCACCAGATTCCACTCTTCCTTCCAAGCTAGTGGAGAGGTGAAGGCGAGGCAATGGTTTTAGAAATCAATCTCTAAGAAGCCTGCTTGAGGCTCTAAAAACTGAATTCAGATGCTTTATCCTAACTTTCCCATCCTGGTGCTGCAGGTGAGTGGAAAGCAGCTGCAAGCCCAGAGGGAGTGCCTGATGGCTGCCATCAGTCTAAGCACAGCTGAAGAATGGGAGAGACAGGGTTTGAAAATGGAGCAAACTAAAAGGTTTCAATCCCACAGCAGCCTTGAGAGTCAGAAACTGGAAAGGGAGATAAAGGCTGCAAATCCAGTTCGAACAGCCTGACAATCCCTGCAGCAGTGAGTGCCCAGGTCTAACAGCACAATTTCAAGGTGGACACTAGGTCTGTGTGCTGCCTTGAACCAAGCAGCCTAGCAAAACCTGCAGAGAGAGAGGTTCACTAGGTAGTGCTATCTGTAAGGACTTGTCATTATGTGATTTATTGTCTGAGTTCCTAAAATAGTCAGCAGACTGCTAAAAATCTACAGTGTCTTCCCTTAGCATTTAAAGCCAGCTCTGTCCACCTACAAAGCAAGAGAATATTGAAACACACTAAACATAATTGTTAAGAAGAAAACTATTTGCTTCTAATTTACATACCCAGTTATTACAACTAGTAAAATTAAAACTGACCCTAAAAATCTAGCACTTGAACAAACTGGTACTTAAAGCCTGACTACAGGTTTAAACCATCATAAGAACATAAACTAAAAATCACAAACAGAAATCAATAAAAATATGATTAGGGTCAAATCAGGTAATCAATTAAGGTCTGCATCTTTAATAAGCACCTGGAGAACATCAGTGGCATAAATTACTATATGCCATGCTGTCCCAGGAGTATGGTTCCTGAAAATCTGTTTAAATCTGACAAACCTCCAGCAAGACCTTAAAGCGTAACCCATCGTCCCATAGGGCTGCTCAGACTTATGCTAGTGGTAAGCCTGGTTGGTAATCACTTTCCTTCCCTACTTCACAGGGGAAGGGAAGAGGGTGGCCTTTTTAAGGGCCAATGTGAAATTAGTTCAACTAATGACTTCCCAACATGGGAGGCAAAAAACTTCATGAATCAACTTTACTGTCATCCTCAGCATGTCGTTCAATATGTCCAGCAGCATCCTAGGAATAAAGGGAAAAGGGCCCATGAGAGAGAAGCTGGTAGAAGGACAAGAGAAAGTCAAAGCCAGGGAGAGTTTCGTGGGTACATTCTATGATCCATCCATGAAAGGCAGTTAGGACCCAGCACTCTTCACTTGAAACTTCATTAAGCTATCCCTCAAATCTCCGAATAACAACAAAAAGAAAAACCCCTGGACTCTCCCTATTTATTACAATTCTCAACATTCTAACCAGGCAAAAAAGGTTTCCAAACCCTGCCCCCAGAGGTCAACTGACCTCAGGCTGTCCTTGAGTCCCAGTGATGTACCTGTTTGGATCCTTTCCTAGCAGTAAAAAAAGCATCACAGTTCTTCCAGCGACATTTCAGAGTTTGAAAGTTCGGGTTTGTATGGTCAGTCAGCAAATGTTGTTTTAAATGATCTAGAACGCCAAATATTAGAGAGCAACCATGCCACTAGAGAGAAACAGAATGAAAAAGTTAGAAAGGGTACCGGGAACACGCAAGTAGAATACTCCCACTTGTATACCATAAATTCAGTGGAAACAAAAAGTCCCTTATTATTTAATTTTTTCTTGGCTAGCAAAACAAAACTAGAAGCAATCAAATTAATTATCAATATGAAGAATCTTGAAGAAACTGGGAAGTCTTTTAACATTTTGGTATTTTAAGAAGGCAAAGCACTAAGGTAGCCAGTACATTGTTAGATAAGGGAAAAGTTAGTAAATATTTATAGACCAGTAACCATGAAATTACATTTAAATCATACTTATTCTTTATCTTGCCATCATAAAATGAGTTTCTTTGTCCATTTATTTAAAAAGTTAAAGAGCATTCCTATAATACTGAAAGGGCTATTTTTAACAATTCTAAGAACTATTGACTTGTAAACTTAAAAAATAAAAGTGCCTGATTAAAAAGGGGAAAAAAACATGTGTGGAAATATTTGTTGTAGAAAACTGTTGCCACGGAAGCCCGACTTTCCATACAATCTTGATCACGTGAATCACAGTCTTGTGATCATCTACTTTTTTTACTGTTTACTTCCCAATGTGACTCAATTTCACTTGTTAGTCAGAAAGCATAAAGAAATTTTGTCTCCGCTTTTTCCCTATAGGCTTGTTTGTAATAAATCTTATGATTCTAATTCTAACATGTTCATTTCTAAAATGTAATGCAAATTTGAGCATTTCCTCTCTCTCAGTACCATCCCATCGCTCTAGCTGTAAAACCAGACAGTATTTTCCCCATTTCTCTAGATAAATTAACTCTTTATTTGTATACTCTGCATCCTGTTGTACTAAAAAGCAAACAGTAATGTGTAAAAGGCTGCAAAATAATTAAGCTGTGGATGAGCCTAAAATCAAATTTTAAAATGGAGAGTGTCAGTCAGAAAACTTTTCTTTGGTCACTAATATTAGAACTGATGAAACAAATTAAGGCTTATAAGGAATAAGTGTGAAAATTTTGAGGGTTAATAACCAGCACACCCCCCAAAATAAAAACTATGTAATTTAACCTAGAAAGTGGAGGTTTAAAACTTCGAAATATGCCCTGGCTGGTTTGGCTCAGTGGTTAGAGCATCTGCCCTCGGACTGAAGGGTCCCAGGTTTGATTCCGGCCAAAGGGCACATACCTCGGTTGCAGGCTCAATCCCTGGCCTCAGCCAGGGCCTATGCGGGAGGCAGCCAATTCGTGTGGCTGTCTGTCTCTCCCTCTCTCTCTCTCTCCCCCTTTCACTCTCTCTGAAAAGCAATGGAAAAAATATCCTTTGGTGAGGATTAAAAAAAAATTTGTGTTATCCCTAAGGAATGGGTATAGCATGAGCAAGTCATGAAAATAATTCTACTTTTTATTTTACATACTTATGCATTGTTGATTATTTTTATAAGCATGCATTGATTTTATAACAAAATAAAAATCACCCAGGAGATAAACTGAGTGGAGGGTTTTTAAATATACCTCATATCCAATTTTAAAATAGACTTTTCATTAAAGAAATATAAAAAACGCTACACTGATGACAATGAAGGTCTATAAATTAGCCTCCAGTTAAGCAACTCCAAACAGTTTCACTCCTTACCCAACAGCGATAATTCTGCATCAGATTTAGCCTCACGGCCTGAATACTGCCATCATAACAGCCAGTATAAATCTGGAGAAAGAGGTTTATCATATCAGACCAATACACACACACCAAAAAACTACAAAACATCCTGAAAATAAGAGTCAAAAGCTACTTACAGCAACTTAAGAAAACACAAAACTAGCCCCATGGTACTACAACGTGAAAGTATCTTCTAGATCTTCTATTCTAGACCCTTTGAAGCTGTGCTCCTTAGAGAGCCACTCTTGGGAACCTGGCTGACAACAAAAATGGCAGGGCTCAGAGGCACCTACCTACACTTTAACTGGCTCTGGCTTCCACTGGGCATTATGTATTAGGCACCTGTATTTCATTGGAACACAGGGTTCTACTGCTCAGAGTCTAAAAACTTGTTCAACCTCATAATTTAAAAATAAAATAAGTCAAGGATTAGCAGGGTTAAGTGAGTTAGCTTCTACTTTTAGGTCTGCTACAACCATGCCACACTGGCCAAACCTCCTGACTCTACTCCAATATTCTGTTCAGATCATAATGTCTCTGGAAAAAGCACCATTCCTTTTTTTTTTTTTTTTACACGTCTTAAATTTATCTTCCACTTAGTGGTGCTATTAGATTTTTACTGTAATTATTTTAGCTATTAATAGAAAATGAAATATTTAACAATATTACTGGGTTACATCTTGATATTATGCCAAGAGACAGAAAGATAACCAATAATGAGGAATATCAGAAACAGATGGTCATTTTTGGAAGTGACAAGCAGTCACTTTATCATCAGTTTGTAGAATTTTTAGTAAATACATTCAAAGGCAAATGTGTGACATGGCAAACAATACTCACCATACTTTTATGGATGGTCATACACATAATCATGTCTTTGTGTCCTCCATAAACTTGCAGTCGATCATGGGACTTAGGTGGAGGAATCAAACAAAAAGAGAATTAAGGTTATTTACACTTTGCATACTCCCTGAAGGCCTTCGGCAGGTTTAAAACTACACCCGAGCCACACCAAACTGAAGTATCAGGAGCATTTTTTTTTAATCCTCACCTGAGAATATGTTGTTGTTTTTTAATTGATTTTTAGAGAGAGGAAGAGAGAAAGATGGAAAGAAGGAAGGAAGGAAGGAAGGAAGGAAGGAAGGAAGGAAGGAAGGAAGGAAGGAAGGAAGGAAGGAAGGAAAAGAAACTGGACCACTCTTTTAAACCATATAAAAAGATAAATTCAAAAAAGATTAAAAACTTGAATGTAAGACCTGAAACCATAGAACTCCTAGAAGAAAACATAGGCAGCAAACTTCTTGACATCTGTCTTAGCAATATCTTTTTGGGTATGTCTCCTAGGGCAAGAGCAGAAAAGCAATAATAAACAAATGAGACTGCATCAAACTAAAATCTTCTGCATCAACAAAACTAAAGAGTAACCTACTGAATGAGAGAAGATATTAANATTTGTTATTCCAATTATTTATGCATTCATTGACTTTTTTTTTTTTTAATCCTCACCCAAAGATATTTTTTCCATTACTTTTCAGAGAAACTGGAAGGGGGGCAGAGGGGGGAGAAGGAGGGAGACAGGGAGGGAGACAGGGAGGGAGACAGGGAGGGAGACAGGGAGGGAGACAGGGAGGGAGACAGGGAGGGAGACAGGGAGACGAAGAAACATCAATCGGTTATTTCTCGCACACGCCCCAACCGGGGACTGAACCCACAACTTTCTGGTGCACAGGATGACATTCCAACAACTGGGCCACCGGGCCAGGGTTCAGCAGCATTTTAACAGAAATATAATCTAATGGCAACCTTTCTAACAAGTCCTCCTCCTCAAGGGAGGAGCTGGTAATTGGAAATAATACAACCAATTTTTGTGCAGTTTCAAAGTCTCCAACCTGAAATTGTATATAAGGAGGACCAGATGGGTTTTAAAGATTGCAGTTGCTCTCCAGAAACCATTTAAATTTTGACACCTGTGAGCTGACCACGTATCTCAGAACAGTGTTTCTGAAAGCACCGTCCGCGAATCAGTTGCTTCATAATTACCTAGAGTGCCTGTGAAGAATGCAGATTCCTGGGTCCCAACTCAACCTTACTATATTAAAAATTCAACATCAAACCCAAATAGACAATCTTCCCAAATCATTCAAGCAAAATGCTGGATCTAAATTCTACCTGTAATTCATAGACGCGAACAAATTTATCCAGGCAAGCAGTCACCATCACCTTTCCTAGGATGTTCACTACAGTCACTGCATGATTGTGACCTTTATAGATCCGCACAAGCTCCCCAGTCTGCATCAGGAGAGAGAGAGGAGTCACTACTTTCCAGATATCTTCTTACTTTGAGATTTATAATTCTCTAATTCTAAAAGTCATAATTCTGAGGTTACTTGTACAACCACCTAGCTGTACTAATTTTAACAGCTGAAGTACTCTCACAAGCATTTGCTACCTATACAAAATATAATAAATGTAACCCGATGAAAAGAACTCGGTATCTCAGAAACATAAGGGTCACAGTTCTATCTGTATGTATTTTACAGCTTTCGAAGTATAGTTGGCCCTTGAACAATGCAAGGGTTAGGGGTGCTGACCACATGCAGTTGAAAATCAGCATATAACTCTTGACTCTTCCAAAACTTAAGTGGTCCCTCAGTATCTGTGGAAGAATGGTTCTAGGACCATCCCCGCTACCCCCTATAGATACCCAAATCCCAGGAAGCTCAAGTCCCCTATATAAAATGGCACAGAACAATGCAGTCAGCTCTCCACATCCACCGATTCACAATCACAGATCAAAAACAGTACAGGTGTTTATTGGAGAAAAAAAAATCCACATATATATGGATCTGAGCAGTTCAAACCTGTGTTGTTCAAGGGTCAACTATATTTTCACTTTTATCATTTCACTGGATCTGGATAAGTCCCTGAGGACTTGGATTATCCCCAGGTTTACAGACCAGGAGCTGGGCTTCAAAGAGTTGCCCTTAGGATGTGAGTAGAGTCTCCTGGCTGTTTTTATTGGTTCTATTTTAAACTACATATCATATCCACTTTCTTAGTGCCTCAGATGCTCAATTTATTTCAAGTTTAAATGCGGCATTCAAACTAAACCTTACATAAACTTTGAGTCTGCCCCCTATTAAAAATGTTCATGGGTCAGAATTTCTAGGGTGCTCAATATTATCTCAGAGCTTATGCACAGGGATTATTAAGCCCCTGACTGGAAAGGGGACTTAATTTAAATTGTAAGAGATCTGACAAATCCTTCAAGCTTTAACTACCATTCTATTAAAGATTTCTTACACCAACAGGGCTTACATGAATGTTGTGGGCATGGACTGACTGATCACTGGAGCCACTGAACACAAGGTCATTCACCACCTTAAAGAAAAAAATTCAACGAGTTAGATTTGGTACAAGGTTCTGAGTTCCCTCTGTAACTTGCAATGCACATTGGTGAACTCTAATTTTGATGAACATAAACTAGGTATAAAATAAATTTCTCAAATTTTCTGAACTGAAACTTATGTTCTACCACCAGGTACTCTTGATGACTTAACAATGTGTTACTGAGTTTGTTACCTCTGTAGAGTGATTATGAGCTAGCCTAGAAGGGCATTAGAGTATATCTACATTCTATAGTCAAATACACTTTTACTGTTTCTAAGTTAACATTTAAAAAAAATAGTACATCCCTCGGTGACCCAGGCCTGAAGAAAAGGACTGTAACCTCCTTCCTCTTTTCAAGATGACTGTGTTCTAAATAAGCATTAGACAACACAGTAAATGCCACCCAAACCCCTCTATTTGTGCCAGACAACTAGCTCCTGTTCTATGCGCTGTACTTGCCTTCATGCAAAGGACAGTTTTGCTGTGGCCCTCCAGCGTCCTGAGGAGGAGTCCGTTCCGTGCATCGCGTACACTAATGGTACAGTCATAAGACCCCACAACCAGCAGCTTTCGGGCACCTTCCTGAGCTGTGGCAAGACAGCTAACTGCCCGAGGGCCATGGCATTCAAAGATTTCGAGTCGTTTGTTGTTCTGAAAAATAAGGCACCATTATATGAAGTAAAAGCCACTTAGCTGATAAACCTCAAGATCAACTAACCCAAATCACTACCTTGACACGAACTCTAAATTCTACCACCTGTACTTAACTTCTCATACCCATCCCCCCATCTTTAACTTCCCACCTCTGCCTTTTCCATTCCAACTCCCTCTGCCCCATCTCAGGGGGGCAAACTCTTACCTTATGAACTCATGTCTAACTCCAACCTCCACTGTCCTGATCATAATTAGAACTTGACTCTCTTTTTACGCCCTCCCTCACTCACCTTAAGTTAATGATAATGAATGATCAACCTTTTTTTTCATATTCATATACATTTTCCATGCTACAGCCCCAGGAACTCTTTCACTATTTTTTTCCATCCAAAATGTATGCAACCTATTTGTCAGGGTGTTTCCAAAGTTCTCCATTGAGAACTACTTTCTTAGACAATTTCAGTAAGAGTTCGTCTTTCTCCACCTTTCTGTTACTCTGGTGCTCTTCTGACTTCTGGTTCTATGCCATCTTTCATGCCACCCTCTAGTGCAGCACAGAGGCCTCTGCACCAGTCAGAGTCGCATGGTCACACCCTGAATTCCCAAACTTCCCTTCATCTCAGATTTTAGATGTGCTTCCCTCATCCCCACACCAACCTGTTCATAAAGTCTCCCACTTCCCAAAACCTCTAAAAATGAACTTTAGGTGCAAGCATGGGGTGAAGCTCCCAGAAACTAAATAAGCACTAAGCAGCAGCTGGGGGCCTACAGAGCCAAGCAATGACTTCAGCCATCCTGAGGTGCTCGGGAGACAGATCAATAGGACCCAGCCCCATGGTGGACGGGCCCTGATAAACTGCCCTGGCTTTCTGTTGAGACCCCAGAAGCACAGCATTCTAGGAGTACAGGCAAATCAGAAAAGGCCCAGCCCTAATAAGGCTTCAAAATTTGGTCTCGAGGTCCATCTTCTCTGGGGTTTTTCAACCATCTAAAGACTATTTAAATTTCCTGTCATCATCTTACCCCTAAAGTCTTGCTCCTAACCGTACCTACCTTTGATAACATCAGGCTCATAAAAGAGAAGATTATTAGGTAATTATCAAATTTTATTCATTAAAATATTTAAAATTTATTCTTTCTTCTTTATTTCTATTGCCCTGACCAAATCTAATCTAGGCTGTTAGCACTTCACATCTGGAATGCAAAATCCTTCACTAATTACCTTCTGTGATCTATTCCTATCAAGTGAACCAAATAACTTAGCACCTAAGTATATGTGCTAGATTCTTAAAGACAGAAACCAAGATATATTTTCTCGCATCTCTTATAAGTAGTTCAATCTAGCAATGTAGGTACTCACTAAATATAAGAATGATACTATAATTGGGTATAACTTAGTAAACATTCTAACATGTCTAACATGCTGTTAAAAGATGACCAGATGACCTTGAGATACAGGGCTACAACATATTAGTAACCAAACCTAACAATTCCACCTCTTAGATTACATCTCCTACCCATTCTCTTCTCTTCATCCTTAGTGTAACCTTTCATGTCAGCTTCCATTAGAAAGCCTCCTAAATGGCCTCCCTGCCTCTACTATTACCAATATTTTCCAATCCTATCAACTCCAGAGTGACTTTTTCTAAAATACAAATTGGATTACATCTCTCATACATTAAAATCTACAACATGAAGTCCAACTTCATTAGCAAAGCACACAGGGCCATCAAGAACTGGTCCCTACTCATTTCCTAAGCCTCATCCTGGGGCCTAGCACAGAACAGATGCCCAATTAAGGTTTGCTCAACAAATGAATTTATCTTTGAGTTAGGAAAGAATAAGGCCACATGGGCATGAAGACAAGCCTTCAACTTAGCTCACTTTACAGAATAGGCCACCCTCATGAAACCCTAAATCAGTTCCAAACCACATCAATGTCATACTCAATGGAATTTACGCTCATTTTTCAGAGTGTCATTCCTAAAAATGAGATAGACTAGTTTAACCTGTGACTCATTATTTGGCTCCAAATTGCCAGGCTTGGTTTAATTTAGTAGAGTTACATTTTGGTCCTGGCACACTTGGGTCTACACAGGCAGAGTGCAGGATCTTCTTTCACTTACACCCAAAGGGAACAGTTTTTTAGTGGTTAATTGTTGCTTTTTCACATAAGAAAACAGGAAAATGTCTGTCTTCCACTTCTTCCCCCACAATTTTCCCCTTCTTTCCCCACACAACTCACTATTCTCAAGTAGGAACTCAGCCTTCTCTCCCCAACCACTAACCTCTATGTTGAAGGTGACCACAGTGCCATTTGCTAGTCCTGCATAGAGGATTCGCCATCTACTGTGAAGGCAGAGGACCCGGTCTTCCAGCTGTAACTGCTCCACACACTCTCGTGTCTGATAAAAATACACAACACCTAATCAGCAGAGTGTTAAGCAAGCAAAATGTGAAACCAATCCTCCTAACAGCAGAGTATGAAGTGATTTTATGAGGAAGAAAAAGTCGTATCATCTATTTTGTAGAAGGCCATCTTAGACTTTTTTTTCCTTTGAAATATATAGCCAAAGAGTCTCAAGCTGTAGATAATATAAAAAACAAATACAAATTCTATATGTTAACTTGGAGTGCAGAAATTCTTCAAAGAGCACTATGAATTGGGTATTAGCCTCTTAAATTAAGTAGCCAAAGGTAAAGTTAAAGCTGTATTTGGGATCTAAAAGGAAAGTAAAAATTATATTTGTATATATAATTGCATTAATCAAATATGTGCTCTCCTGCAATTCATTTTCTATTTTAATAGCTCCCAAGTGTCTCCTTCAAACCAGTGTGAGGTTAGCCAATCCATGAGTACCCAAGCCTTTAAAACATACAGAGCCCCAAGCTTCACCTCGAGTCCCTAGATTCTAATTCAATAGGCTCTGGAACATGTATTTTTAAAAATTTCCTTAGTAATTCTGATGCATATCCAGGTTAAACAAGGACTGTTTAATCTGACCTTCAAGAAACGATTTCCATAAATTTCCAGAACTGGGTTATATTAGCAAACTTAATTACCTAGAACCTAGAATAGGGCCAGTAACTAGTAAGTGCTCAAGATTTGTTGTTAATGATACCAAGCAACTAAATGCCCAGTGTAATTTTTAAGACAGGTCTGGATAGAGATGTTAAAATTAAGATGGTTGTAAGTGGGTAGGATGTGACAAGCTGTGGGTAGGGTAAAAGCTGTAGGCTGTCAAGGCCGTCTTTCTCTTCTCCCAACTTCTTTCATACCTAAAAGAGTCAGTCTTTACAATTTTTCAATTTCCTCCATAAAATTACAAATATAAATGCCACATATGAAATTGTAAAATAAAAAGAGAGTAAATATGTCCAAATGTTAAGATTCATTGTTGCCTCTGGTTAACCCAAGTGAGATCTTTTTGTAATTTTATAGAGGAAACTGAGCACCATACATACAATGATAAAAAAGTGTTACTGGCACATGCAACAATATATATGAACTTCAGATATTATGGTGAGCTAAAGCTAGGCATGAAAGGATCCATGCAGTATTGTTTATTTAGATGAAATTCAAGCACAGGCAAACTCTCTAATGATAGAAGCAAAAGAGAAAGTGGGAAGAATGAAGCATCTGTTTCAATGTCTCTATACAGTAAATACAGTCAAAGCAGTTCAACATGATCATTTTTCATTTCTCTGGACCCACTTACCTTAACATTATAGCAACGAATGGTGTGATCACTGGAACCAGTGTAAAGGGCAGCATTCTTCCCAGAGGTTTGAGTAACCAGGAGGCAGTTCACTTTGGAAGTATGGCCCTCAAAGACACCAATGCACTTCCGACTCTAAAGTCAAGCACAGATCAGATTACCATTGTGGATACAGAAGGATCAGATAAAGCATTTCCTCAACAAAAAGATGCTATAACGTAATAGCTCACTGCTGCATCCTCAGTGCCCAGAAAAGCGCCTGGTACACAAGCAGTGCTCGGTAAATATCTGACCAATGAACACAACAAATATCTGACCAACAAATGGTCACATGTAGGAAGGTACTTCCAACTATGTCAGCTGAGTCATACCAAAAAATACTTAGGGCAATTAACTGTAAGGTTGATTAGAATTTTAATGCTTAGGGCAAGGCTCTCCAACATGTAGACCAGAGATCCAGCAAATCCAAACTGTAGCTAATTACCCAGATAAGTTCCTGCATTTGATTAGTAGCTTATGAAAATGCTCCATAATATTCCAAGACATGCCAGGTGTCATCACAGGTCCCAGTGGTCCAGGTATGGTTTCATAAGAGGACATCATAATAGTTATCTGTGCTATCTCTGAGATCTATTTAGAATGTACAGATACACATATACTTTATCTTGCAATTCAGAGTTAGAGCCAATCCCCCAAACCTTACACTCATACTTCATGGTACCACTGCTTCCTTCCTTCAGTCATCCCTTTTGCCCATCACATTATTAGGCTAAAGGAACCTATACATTTATTGTCTATAGGAAACACATTTTCTTGGTCCATCATCTAACCTTTTGATTTTCAAGGGCTTCAGCACAAATACTTTCAGTGTTTGTTCGGACAAGATAGAGTTACTAAAGTTTCTTGGCTGTCATTGTTGATAAACAGAGTTAGTTTGACATATACCAAATTCAAAATTTAAAAGTTCATTCTATGAATATTCAGAGTAATGAGCATTAGAGTATACTAATTGTGTGTAGTGGAAGACTGTTGCTCTCCTTAATAACTTGCACAATTAATCAACTGTCAGGGAAAATGCCTGCTCTAATACTTCCCCAATACTCATTTGACCCCCTCTCTGTTATATAGCAGCCATGTAACTGAACTCATCACAAACTCCCAGGTTGGGATCTGACTAGTCCAAGTCTACTGCTGTAATCCCACCTCCCTTTGCCAAGTGATTATTCAGGGAATAATGCACTGAATAATTTGGTAGTAGGAGGGAAAAGAAACCCCAGTGGCTCCTGGCATCTATTTCTGAGCAGGAGGAGAACTACCTTAAGGAAGAGGTGATACGAGGAAGGCAGACTGGAGAGAAAGAATAAAATTAAGTTTCCAGTGACCCTGTTGAGCAGCTGGATCAACTTTATCTAAAGTTAGTCTAAAGCCCACCCCATCTCTAGAAAGCAAATAAATCTCCCTATTGTTATGAGGTGGAGTTTCTAAAATCTGCAACTACCATAACCATTCAAATTGCTCTATCAACTTACCACCAGATTATAAGCTCGCACAGTTTTATCTGCTGAACAGGTATACAGTAAGTTCCCAAATATCTGAATTGCATTCACTGCAGCCTGGTGCCCCTCAAAACTCCCTTCTGTGGGTTCATCATCATCTCCTGGCTCTGAAGATATTTCTAGAAAACAAGAATAAGTTTCAGACATATCTGCTGTGTCTGAAAAGACACTCAAAAATTAAAACCATTACATAATATATTGGTCCCTGGATTCTCCTTAAGCCTAGTTCCCCTCGCAAAATACATTTTTTTCATTAAGATCTTCATCATCAAGATTTCATAGCAAAAAGCAGGCAAGGCCTTTCAATTAAGAAAATGATACTATGTAATGAGTTTTTGAGTAATAACTGGAAGGTATCAAATATCTGTCACATACAGTTATTTCGTTGAGCAAGGCATTAATTAGTCTTTAAACAGTTCCATCTCAAAGCAAAAACCCCTGGAGCCAATGAAACCTTAATACTAAATAACTGAATAGATACAGAGCCAAGTAAGAGAGATGGGAGTAAGAAACTGAAAAGCCAGGACTTAACGATTTAAATTATTAAATTATTAGTTATTAGTTAAGAATACTGTAACAGCTGGTCAAAGCAATCCTCTTAATAACTCCTTCCTCCTATTCCACAAGAATATTTAAGTAGATTTAAACCCTGGCTCTAACATTTACAAGCCTTTTTCTTTGTGGTTAATTTAAATAAAGGAACAACCAAATACCTGAAGAGTTCTTTGATCCTTTTATGGAGGAGATCACCGTCTGAGTTTCTGCTACACTACAAAACAATAGCAAAAGTCTTCTTAGCATCTGTGTGAACAGGACAGGTAGTAAACCTTAAATTACCCTGACTCAAAGTATTGTTCTAGTCAATGGGCAAAGTAGCAATGATACGAGATCACTTTTCCATCTGAAATTTCTCTATGAAAGGAAATAAAAGTACAGCAAATATTTATAACACAAATGAGAAAGCAGCAAATCTCCATTGCCACGGTATGAGTCTGCCACATCTGGAATACCTATTGATTTTCTATAAATTTGATTCTTTTAAAAATTCCGAGTCATGAAAAAAGTTCTATTTTTTAAGAAAAGAATAATGGCAAAAGCTGTTCTGACTGGACCAATTCAACATCCCTACTTCACAGGTGGGGATATTTTTTAAGAAAAAGAAGAATGAAGCCCTGGCTGGTGTGGCTCAGTGGTTAGAGTGTTGGCCTGCAGACAGAAGGGTCACAGGTTTGATTCCCAGTCAAGGGCACATACCTGGGTTGCAGGTTTGGTCAGGGCTCCTGCAGGAAGCAACCAATTGATGTGTCTCTCTCACATCGATGTTTCTCTCCCCCCCTTCCCTCCCTAACTTCCACTCTCTCTATAAATCAATGGAAAAAATATCCTTGGGTGGGGATTAACAAAACAAAATCAAACAAAAGAATGATGAAAGCTGTCCTTATTGGACCAATAGGACATCCCTACCTTACAGGTACACCATCTTTATAGCGAGTGCCAATCTCACTGGTAGAGCTAACTTCATCACAACCAGAACGAGAAGTTTCTAATGAGTTTTGTTCTGTGCAGTTCCAAATATCCTTCTTAGATGGGCTGTCTGGTTTCTCTTCTCCGGATTCAGAATCAATGGCTACCACTTCTAACTGAGGATTAGGAATTTCTAGGACTTCCAGGGAGGAGTCACTATCGGGCTCATCTCTGACACTCTCTTGCTCTGGGCCAGTTCTGCTGTCCTCCCAGGTGGAGGTTGTTACTTTCCCTCCTTTAGTTGACTTTCCAGTTTTCACTTTCCTCACAGGTTTAGCAGTAAATACATCCTGTTCAGTGTCACTATTCTCAGGAACATGGGCGGCTCGCAGAGTTTTCTTCTTCCTAAGTTTCTTCTTTTTCTTGTTTCCCCTCGTTTCGGCTGATGTCAGAGTAGACTCTGCTTGTTCAGGCTGCTCAGCTGGAGAGTGGGGCTCCTTCTCTAAAGGGGTTTCAGAAGCAAAGAACGACCTTGGAAAAGAACTGGTACAGGCCTCAGACCCGCTGTTGCCTTTGGCTGGCTCTTCACCTTCTTTATTTATGCCAGGAAGACCAGTTGATTGGGAATAGAGAGCATTCTCCCTGTTTCTGGTGTTTCCTTGCTCCATGGAAAGCTTCGGTTCTTGGCTAGGCTCGCGGAAACTTTCTGTTAGCTCTGACAAGGACAATGGTGCAGTAATGGATGGATCGACTGAGCAATGGTCACTGATCTCTCCTGAATGAAGAAAAAAATTATTGCATCTCATTTGTGTCTATTTATACTCATAAACTGCAATTATTTGTTACTGATTGAACCTCTAATGAATACTGACATTTGTTAACTAAACCATGGCTTTTAAAAGCTGTTATCTCTCAACTTCCCATAATCAAAATAAATTTCTATTAGAGCACTTAGGACTCTACCTTGCAGTAATCTCACAAATAGCATGGATGTCTTAGAGTCTACAAAAGCTCCTTATGGGCAGGAATTGTTTCTCGCCCAGCTGGGCGTGGCTCAGTGGTTGGGCATCGACCTAGGATCCAGGCGATCAGGGTTCGATTCCCGGTCAGGGCACATGCCTGGGTTGCGAGCTAGCCGATCAATGACTCTCTCATCATTGATGTTTCTATCTCTCCCTCTCCTTTCCTCTCTCTGAAATCAATAAAGATATATTAAAAAAAA